CGAAAAACAATTGCCTTGAAAACTGCAAGGACTCGTCGAAGCAGTCACTGCAGGGTCAGCAATGACTGAGCGCAGACAAAAAAAAAAAAAATTGCAAATATTGCTCTATAAGAAAATTACTGCATTAGTTTAAAGCCCATTAGTTTAAAGCCCATAGGCTTTAAAGAAGAAGAGATACATGTAAATAATAGATGTTTTATCCCAAATCTTATATTAACACTTTACAGCAATCTTTATTATGAAATTTAGGAAGCAATTTTATGTTGTATCCAAAGATCAGCTAAATTCTGCAGTGATGGCACCCAGTCTGCTTGTTAATTAAACAAAAACAAAAAACAAAACTCTGTATCTAAATGAGTTGAAAAACTGTGTCCAGACACAGAAATCACATTCTTGCCTCCTCAAATCAGATCTTAAGTCTGTTTCTCCTGCTCGGTTCCTTATGTGTGCATATAAGAAACTGAAAAATGGTTCAGGTATCCATCTTTCTCTGCTATTTATCTTTTATTGTTTTTAAAAACATAACTTGAAACTTCATACATCTGTTCATTCATCACTGTATATGTGAAATAAGCAACTTTTTAAAAGTACAAAAATGTTTCAAGGATTCTTTGACAGTTTCTGTAATAAAATATTTTAGTAACGCTGAGCAGATTCTTGCACAGTTATCTATAAACAGGTTTAAAGTGGTAAATCCACATCAAACATAAGTTTACACTATACAGCATAACAATGCCTTTCATTCTAAATAAGAACCCATATTTACTTAGATCTGCATTCCAGCTGATTCGGTGGGATTTACATTGGGAAAGTGGGGTGAATAATGCTACCTTCATTTGCAAGGGGAAGAAGAAAAAAAGGGGAAATTGGAGTGACATCTTGTTTCATACAGCAGGAGGGCTGAATAATATGATGAGAAAATGATGGTTTATACCCTTTCAGGCAGTGTATTTTATTGATTCACTTCGGTATACTGTATTTACTTTGGATCAGGTCCATTAAACTCAGTGGCACTTCCTTATTTATGTGTTTGTTGCTTTTATATACCAATTTTTCTCTAAGAAATTAGGGTTGCCTTCTCTAATTTTAACCCGCAACAGATGTATACAGAAAGTTAATTGAGAGTCGCAGTGAAAGACACTCAGTGAGTTCTGTGGTTGCGTGGAAACTTGGAGCTGGGTTTTCCCAGTGCAAGTCTAACATAGTCTATGACTGGATATGCATAAAATTATTTTAACCTGTACTTCCCACTTCCTTTCCTCCCCCTGCAAATATATCCTGATGCACCTTTTAAACCAGTATTTCTCAAACTTGGCAACTTTAAGATGCGTGGACTTCAACTCCCAGAATTCTCCACCCATGGCTGGCTGGGGAATTCTGGGAGCTGAAGTCCATACACCTTAAAGTTGCCAAGTTTGAGATACAGTGATTTAAACCTTGTTATTACAGTATACCAAAGTACAACTTTTTGTAAGGGGTAGCAAGGTTTTCTTACTGGTTTTGCATCTTCCCTCAGAAATTGTGAAAATAATTTCTTTGAAAATTAAACAGTTTCAAAATCATCATCATTATTTTTGAACAGATGTAGCATTGTCCTTCCCTTTCTTTTAAGTGCAGAGTCTTATTTATTTATTTATTTTACAGTGCTTATAACCACCCCAATTCCAAAGGATGTGGGCAGTGTGTACCACAGCAAACAAAAAGAAAACAAAAAAGTAATAATAATTAGCCAAATTAGAACCATATCCAAAACAAAAGTAGCCACTGAAAGCAAAGATAAGAGAGATGCCCATGGTCAGTTAGCTGGGACTGAAGGCACATTGAAATAAAACAATTAGAAGCTGTTTATGGCACTGCAGAAAGGTGGGGGCTGAGTGTACTTCAGAGTATTCCATAAAGGAAAGGCTATTACAGAGAAAGTCTGCAGACCTCAGGAGGAGATTAAACTTTCAGCAGGGCCTTCTCCATGATGGGATGTGCAGATTCAATGGCAAGGTTGCTTGATATATCCTGGTGCTGTGCTGTTTAGGGCTGTAAAGGTAATGACCAACATTTTGAACTGTGCCTACTGGCAACATACACTGAGTTTAATACGGGTGAAATTCTGAATTGGAAGGATATCCAGTTAATAATCTTTACACTACGTTTTCTACCAGCTGCAGCTTCTGGTTTGTCTCTAAAGGCAGCCCCACATAGAGTGCATTGCAGCAATCCACTCAAGGGACATTCAAGACATGAGTTACTAATAATACATTTATATAGTGATATATGTCACTTCCTGTACAACTGCAATCTTTTCAGGCTTGAACAAGCATAATATTACTGCATATTGATCTGGAGCTGTGGCTGATAAAGCAGCTGATTACCTATATGGTTCAGCACCATTCACTGTCCACTTTTTCTGATTTGAAAGCCTGCTGGGGATTCTGTACGAGCAAACTCATATACATTGGACTTTGAATGAATGTGACTTAAAATAAGAATATCAAATGTAGCCTGTTTTAAGTATGAGAACTGAAAAAGTATATTTTGTTTAGCAAAAGAAACACTATATCTTTGAATTTTTGCCTGCCAAAATGACAGCATCTTGCAAACCTTACCTGATTCTGAAAATCAGGTTTGAGTCAGAGCTGGTTAATACCTGGATGGGAGACTATCAGGAAATACCTGGACTATAGACTAACCTTGGAAGTTGAAAAGAAAATCACAGAAGAGGATAGGGCAAATTATTTCCATATTATTTTTAAGAAAACAGCATTCAAAGAAATTGGGTTTGCCTCAAAGAGTGGCAATACTTCTTTGGTTTCTCAACCTATTAGTAGCTCATTTCAGAAGTGAGCCATTTTTTTGGATGTATATGGTGCTATAAAATGAGGGGAGTTTGTTTTCCCTCCCCATTTTGCTGATGGAAATTGTTCCATTACAGCTAGGCAAATTAACCAACCTTCCTTCTTTCCTTCCATCCTTCCAATATTCAGAGTTTCTCTGTCCAAAACTGAAGCTCAAGGTTAGTAAAGCAAAGAAAAGCCAGCTATATATGAAATACAACAATTCCCTGAAGTAGTGTGACTAAGCTTAATATATAATTGACTCTAGTTTCTATGACCACTAGAGCAGAATTTAGTAGTAATAGCATGAGTGGTTATTATTTTGTTCAGAACTTGTGACTTTGTGACTTCGTATCCTGGTCACTCTATTAATGAAAGGAGACAGTCTCTCTCTTATTAATATAAGACATTATTGTAAACTTTTGAGATGTTTAATGGTAATGCCATATTTTTGCCATTTATAAATTTTCACTTCTTCTAAAACTTGAAGTTAAATAAATGTTGTGTTCAACCTTAAGAAACAGAAATGTGAGATGCCATTAAAAACCTAAAAACATGAGCATTTCTCTTGATAGTCAGAATGATGAAAAGTTTACAGTTAATTAAAAGCCAATTAATTACAAATGCATTAAGAACAAAGTTGGAAAATGGATGTATCTATATCTAGTTATAAATATAGATATTTTGATGGAAATATGGAAAATAGTTGAGATTTAGAAAAGCTTGCTTTAATAAATGTTTAATCAGTATATAATAAAGCTTATCAAAGAACCCTCTTAACCATATGATGTATATCACATACTCTTCATCAATAACACTAGTAAAATAAGTGCCAATGTGTTCACTGGGCCAAGGTGAAAAGGAGTCCAAAAACCATTTTCATTATAGCACTTTGGTAATGTGTAAAAAAAATGTTGTTTCAGGAGTTGCCTGCTGAAGAGCTCTGTGCAACTCTAAAGAAGTTATTTGAAGAACAGGTATTGCCTTGTTTATATCTATCATATATAATATCTGTAGCTATATATGTTACTATAGGAGGAGAATTGTGGCTTTTATCGATACAAGAATTGTAAAATACATTTGCCCGGTTTAATACACTGATATAACCACAGGAACTTTGATCAATGTGCAGAGCAAATTGTGCAATAACTTTTTCCTCTCGTCAGGGGAATGACTAGGTGATGAGAACACCCAAAGTGATATGCACGTTGAGCTGATCCTTTCATTGAGGTAAAAGAACCTGGGGCCTACATTCATGCACACAAAGCTGCAGATCAAGAGCCCTGTGTTAAAAACAGAGCTTTGCTTATACCCCATTCAGGTTCTTGTTAATAATTTAGTGGTCTTGTTACTTGACTAAATGTTATAAGTGTAAGGAGAACATTCTCCCTCCACCTGAAATAATCAACTATTGATTGTAATTGTGAACCATTTCTTTCAGCTACTGTACAAGTGCCACATCTTCATTTATTTCAACCCTCTAATAGTAATGGTGCAGCAGTACTTGCTTAGCAGATTGCATCAGGGGTTACCTGAGTTAATAATTTCAGACCATGTTTATAGTCCATGTCTGTATGTGATTTTCTTGAACAAATGCCAAGGCTGTAGCATATTTCAGTTCAGCAGTAATAAGCAGATAATTATGGACATAACTATGCAAATATAACACATTTATAATTTACTCGTACTCCATTTGATGGTGACGTGTATACAATATTTCCTCAGGAAAAATAACATGGGGACTGTCTAGGGGAATTTTGAGCTTTGTCAATGGAAACAGACCCTGATGTGTTTGCAAAGTACATTGAAGGGGTACGTGATCAATGTTGTCCTTTACCAAACTGTGCGATGTTCTACAGGGACAAGATTCATCTTAAGTAGAAAGATAACCTCCAAAATGTCTGAAGCTTTAAAGGACAGTTTTAAAAAAGTCTGTTTGCCCCTCAGGCATTTATTCCTGTTCTCTTGTTTCAACCAATTTACTTGGATTTTGATAGCACAGAGAAGGCCTTATCTTTTGAGAAACAGCAGCCTCTTTTCCCAAAGTCCAAGTAAGTGATATAAAAAGCTGTCTTTGTTTTGTAAAGAGGCAGGCAATCTTGCGTGATGTATTAATGATACCAACTACAAATATAGCTTTCATTCACCAATGTGTACCAAAAAGAAAAAACTTGGTTTATGTATACTTTGCTTTTCTCAGTTTCATGGTAAACATTGGTTTCCTTGTATACTTAATATCTGCTTTAATCCCCAAATTGTCCAACATAACTGATAAAAACTTTCTTCCTTTCAGATTTAAAACCCACTTCTTGCCCCTGGTCAATCCTACTACTAATTTTATTTCCATGGCTTCATTTTCTTAGACTCCATACCTAGGCTTTAATGATGCAAACCAAAGTGCTCGTAATGTTTTCACTAAACAAAGTATTAAGATTTCTTTGAAAGTTGTCATTAGACACAATTCTGTGAATCCACAAAGGGGTGCTGATATCTTCTTGTCTTGTAAACTGTTCAGAGAAAATATATTTTATTGAAATAATTTTTCTAAATGTTAATATGCTGATATCATTGGGATACTACACAGATAGACAGTTTCAGTATCTGTTCTAAATAATAAATAGCATGCCTAACTTTTTTTGTTTCTTGTATTTTATAACTTCACTCAACTTTTAAATTTGGTGTCAAATGTAATTTCATTAACATTAGTCAACATTTTCGCAAATATTCCAGAGGCAGGTTTATAATTTTTTTTTTACTTATTTATTTTTTGATTTTTGACATAACCAATTTGATTCCTAAAAATATTAACACAGAAATTCTCACTAAGCCTATTAAATATGCTCAGAATTGCTATAACTGCCAGATCTTTAAAAATATTACTTCCAAAATCTTATAACATTTTTTTCTTTTAACCAGGTAGACAAGAAGATTGTCCGAACAGAAATAGGTGTTCTTCTTCGACTTTCACATCCAAATATTGTAAGTTGTATCTGTTTGCAAACCCAGATTTACAATTGTTAGCCTCCCATTGATCTCCCATTGTAGACATATTTTCCTATTGCGCTGCACATAAAAGGACCAAAAGAGCTGTACAACTTCAAAAGTTTATTTATTACACTTTTCTGGGAAGCATCAGGGCCCTGGTCCACTTAAAATTATTTCCAGTAGGCTCTCAAGATATTTCAAACACGCCGAAGAATCATTTAAGAAAATAATTTTTAGTGCATGCTCTTTTTTTACTATGTTCTGCTGAGCCATAAATTGTGGAGTTTTTAAATTAGAAAGAAAGTAGGAGAGAATTTGGGGGGAAAAAGAGAATATATTCAAACCAGCAGATACTATGTAAGGTACATCTATTCTTTATTGTAACTTTATTATAATTATCCTTAAAATATATGCTTACACTGAAGAGGGGGAAAATGGACAATTCCTTACTTTGTTGCCTTTCTCAGATAAAACTGAAGGAGATATTTGAAACCCCCACAGAAATCAGCCTTGTCTTAGAACTGGTAACAGGAGGAGAGCTGTTTGACAGGTATGTGGTGGGTTGTGCTATGTATTGTACTATATACTGTCCAAATATTACATAATAAAGGCTCTTGCTTTAAAATAGGGATTTCTTTGGGTTTAATTATATGAGAAAAGAAGAGGCTGAAAATGCACTATTGTCTCTGTGACATGTGCTTCAGTGGCTGGTATTACATCTTAGCAGATCTGGATATAGATCTTCAGGTCTTTTTCCAGCTGGCCAGCCTCTCCATCTCCCAACCCTTCTTAATCCAGTTTAAAACACATTGATGATTCATTCATGCTGTTCTGACTGCTTTGAGATCTGTCTAGATGTCAGGATACTATGAGCTCAGCCAAATTTGTTTGTATGTATACTTGGCTTGCAGAAACCCACTAACTAATTAGCTTTTTCCCTTTGAGCCAATATTTTGGAAATAACTCTCAGCCAATCAGTGCTTGTTTGCCAGCTAATCAATGAGTAGCTTGGCTCCTCTAGCCATGCTTCAAAACACATCCTTTTCTAGCTTTTTCTGGTGCTTCTGTGCATACCATGGTGGCAGACCTCCGTTGCCTACCAAACTCATAGTGCTGGCATGCCAGTGATTCTGGATTTGGCTTTTCTTTTAGTGACTCATGCCAGCATGCTACTGTGATGAGACTCAAGGAGGCAGGGAAGGCCAAGAATCTGCTTTAACAAGAGTCCCAAATACCCCTTCAATCATGAGGCACCCATACAGTGTGATTCGCGAAGCAGCAGTTGCTATCTCGAATCGTTTCCCTGCTACAGATTAATCGCCACTGGCACATGGATAATTACACTGAACTCTGAATGTGTGTCAATTCTTTTTGCTCCTCCTGCTTCTGCCTATTTGTTCTACTACTCTTTGTTCCACTACCCATCTTCCTACCATTATTACTTACTAAACCAGTAGTTAGTATTTTCCAGTAATGGCTTCTTGCAAGGTTTGTAGTTCACTATGTAAGTCCCAAATGATAAACTGAAAATGACTTGTTATTTCTCAGTTTTTTTAACCTGAGAAAGAAAATATATTGTTGCAGAAATGAAACATTGAGGCAAAGTTGGGGGTGGGGCACCTACTGGATGCCAATTTTTGCATTTTCCTGTTGGTCAGCTGAAGAGCATGTTAGTCAGCTCATGGGGAGAACTGGGTATTATAATAGGGGCAATGGTGTGAACATCCAGAGTGAATGCAGAAGTGTTTCTGAAGCTTTCTGGGATATATCTGTAGCATGAGGTGGTATCCTTAGTTTGCCTGATCTCCCAAAGGATTTCAGCCAAATGATACATCTATGGTATTGGTTGTAAATACAAATTTCATGAAAGTATATCTTAGAGTAATGATAATTGTTTCATTGTATTTGTGGAGCTGGAAAGCAAATTCTACTTATAGAACTTACTGATGTTCGAAGCCAAATCTCTATTTTTACTGTTGGAATCATTGCAGTAGAATGAAACACCTTACCCATTTTGTAAATTCCACTTTTTTTCTTGACTGTTGTTCCTGGGAACTTACCAAATCCTCAGTTGTGTTTTGTATATACTTCAAATTCTCTATTTCCATTCTGCATAAATATCTGTTGAATCTACAAACTTGTATCTGCCTTGCTGCTGCTTATTTATTCACAAGGCCCATCACATATGTATTCTACATTGCATCACTACTAGATTGTCATTCTTTATTAGGACTCTCTGCCTGGTACCTCAGATGCTGAGAACAACTATTTTTTTAATGCATTAGCTGTGATTCAGAGACTAAATCCTGGAATATGTTCTTATTATCTCCAACATTTTATAGACATTGCTGTGAATTGAGGCAGCCTAAACTGACATTTTTTATATACTGTAGCTAACTGTAGCATAGCTAACTACAGGCAGCCATTTTAATATGTGAATGAAAGAATGAGTGAAATGAAACAAGACTGAGAGCATATTTTCAGGAAGACCTTAAACAGGAGCTGTAAATAACAAAAACAAAATGAAGTCAACACAGGAATCAGGTAACTGCCAAGGCTGTGAAAGGGATGAGAATGAAGCTGAATGAAATGATAGTACCTTGAGAAGATTGTGAGAAACTGGTGCCACTACAATGGACAAAGACAAGTTGAGGGAAGACAGAAAATTATTTTAATAAAAGCTGGGTCTTGGATATTATTTCCAAGAGACAGTATTCTCAAAACAAAGATCCGTCCACCATTCTGTCAATTCATGGAATAAGAAAGGGAACTAATCAGAAGGTCAGAGTGTTGGTATGGATGCAACATGTTATTTTGGCCAGCCAACTGGAATGCAATGACATCTTCCTAGACCAGAAAGCATAAAAGAAGTAGGTGGGGCGCCTCCGTATTGACACCTATCCAAGGCAAAAGAAAATACTACATCCGACTGATGAGATAGTTTGTGCACTACCTCGTGTTCTCTATCTTACCTCATCTTCCCTTTGGACTAATTGCCCAAAGTGTAATGATGTCAATATGCATAATGGAATAATAAATGAATAAATAGTAACTGGTTCCAGATTTTGCACCTTTGTCTTTGTGAATATCTATGTATCATATATGCATATACAAACCCACCCCTGAAGCAACAAAATAAAAATAATTTTTTATCATATTTGGATTGGTCTAATATTTGGAGCACATCAGTAACTCTGTCTGTTGGTCCTGCAGAACAGAATTCATTGTTCTCTCTTCCGTTTCAGGAATAAAATCAGTGAAATAAAATGTTTGCCTTCCTAAGGTGCATAACAACTTCTAGGGTTCTAAGACAGATTCTACAAACCATTACTGTCCTTGGCTTGGCTTGTTTCATGACCAGTTCTTAAACATAGTTGGCACAGTTGCATATAATCTGAAGAAAATATGCATGGACTAAAACTAAGATATCTGAGTTCAAATCCACATGCTGGCTGGAAATACTGGAAGTCAGAATCCCACCTTACCTGCAGGGCACTGTGCTAGGAAAGGTTGATATGGATTGTGAGCATGCTTGCTGTCATTTAGTGTTATAATAAGCAAGTGCAATATGTTGATTATGAAATCAATGCACAAAGACCAAGCTAAATACCCATAAAACACGTTAATTAATACATAATAAAGGAGAACTTTCTTCACCCCCCTGTTGGCTTTCAGCAGCTAAAATTTTAATGGAGAACAAGATACTGATTATTTATTTATTTATTTATTTATTTATGTATTTATTTATTTATTTATTAAATTGATTTATATGGGTGCCCATCTCACAAATGTGACTCTGGGCAGCTGACAAAACAATAAAAAATGATATTAGCAAAGAATATAGACTTTGAGGTATAGGATTATAATCCTTGCATAAGGAAACAATTGGAAAAAATAGCTCATTTTAGATTGTTTTACATTAATATTAATATTTGTGAATTTTTTAATCATTGCTAATCTGCAGTATATAAAATACATCTGTGTTTTTGATTGATCAATTATATGTCATCAAATCATTGTCAACTCTTAACAAACACGTAGATTTTTGTGATCTTCTGACTGAAAGTGATCAATCCCAGTCCATTTCAATTCACCGATACCTAAGATATCAATCTGTACTCGTTTCATTTCATCTTTCACTGTGTTGACCTTTCCCATGTTCATGCTTTTTACATTCCACGTTCCTACTGTAATTCTGTCTTTGCAGCTTCAGGTTTTCTTTTTCTGGCAACATCAGCAACTAGACACCCTGAAAGCTTTAATCTAACCACATCATAAACACCATTAGTACTCTGAAAGAACCTCAGCTATTCCTCAGTAGCATGTTAAGTGCCATCCAGCCTGAGGGGCCCATCATCTCACACTATAGTGTCAGTCATTTTATATTTTCCATCCATGTAGTTTTCTTGGTAACAATACAGGAATGGTTTATCATTGCTTTCTCCCACACAGTATGAATTGATGCCTTTGCCATTGTCACTAAAGTGACCACCTGCCTCTGGCCTCTTCCTATATCACTGCTGCCCAATATAGGTGCCTGCTTGCTTTAGCTGGGCAGCTGGGATGACCTTCATGCCTTTGGTGACTTTGCTGGGAATATATACTCCTGGCATAAACTCCCAACGTTCTTTGCTCATCTCTCCCAGGAACACGCCACCACCATGGTGAGGGAGCACAGCAGGAGTTGAGGGAGGACATCTTTGTTACTCTTCTTGTTTTCATCCCTTCCACTATTCCTTTTCAATTCCTAGACAATATGCCTCTGTTTATTGACAGATAAGTGCCTTATTTGTTAAGGGTATTGAAGTGAGACAACAAGGGAAGGAATGATGTTGTAGGTGTTAATAAAAAAAACCTCAATAAAAATGTAATTAAAAAAACCTTGTGTATGGTTCCATTTTAACCTTGGGCTCTATACAATATGTGCAAATTGTAAGCAACTTCTGAGAAATCCATTGGAGCATCTTTGTATCCATCAGAAATTAACTCTTTTTCAGTATGTTGTTGAGGCAGGAGGCAGCCCGTGTTAGTATTCTGTGCATCCTATTAATGTGTTTCTCTCAGCAAGCCAATAACATCAGCAGACCCACATGATACATCTGAAGTTGGACTGTACTGCCTTCGCCCACCTTAGGAGAGATTAATGGTTCAAATGATCTTTTGCCGAAAAGTCCATCTGATATCTACTTAATTGTTCAGGCCATTTTAGACTTAATTTTGGCTCTACTTACTTGGCTTTTAAATGTTTGTTACCTTTTTAGTTCTTCTATTTGTTATTATTAATGTTTTATCTATTCATTAAAAAAAATTCTTTTAATAAATAGCACTGGAAATCTATATTGAAAATTGGTATAGAAACACAGCAGTGGCAACACAAAGCCAACCTTGGCTGATCTGAGTTGCATCTGGTTAGTTCTTGGATGGAAAAGCACCAGAAAATCCCAGGGCTGTAGATTAAGTAGGGCAGTTTAAAAAAAAATCCTGAAAGAAAGCAATAGCAAACAATTATCATATTGTGCCAAGAGAGCAACACAGATATCTCCATGAGGTCACTAGGAGCTGAGCTGTTTGATAGCGTCCTTACTTCTACTATATATATATATA